TAGACAATTGGAATAAAGGCCTAAGGTAATGGCTTCCCCCGTTGTAGATTTCCTTAGTCGTATATTTCTTATAGTTATGAATTAGTTATCTCTATCAATCATGAACTCTCCAACAATCATAACTCTCTCTCTCAAGTAATTATGATAATTTACTAGACGCACTCTCTCAAGCTACGCTAGCTAGATTCGCATTACAATTCACTTAGATTGCACCCGAGGTATCGTTATCTCTACTCCAACCTCTAAACCCTCGGTTATGACTTCGCCTATACTCCGGGAGTGATGTTGTTCAAACAATTACCTAAATATGCATTCTTTCTCAAGTAGCTACATAATAAATAGGCATGGCTAATTGAGGATCCTTTCAACTAACCAAATATCAAAACATAGTTGAACAAATAGAGATTAATAACTATCTCAAAACTATATTAATATCACAATAAGTTCATCCACAACGGGTTCAACCAAAACCTTAGATTAAAAGCGTTAGCTACTCATAACAATGATAAACATCATAATAAATAACTTCATTACAAATCATAAAAACAAAAGGAAGAGGAGAAGAACTTGATGTAGAAAACTCTTCTTAGCTCCTTGCCTTTCCTATTCTTGTTCTTAGCTAATAAAAGATGCACACCTCTATTTTTGGGCGAGCTTGAACTTCTATAGGTTAAGTGAATTTGCCCCCCCCCCCAGATTTCCAAAATTACCCCTGACGATTCTGTTCCGGAATCTGGACTAGCGCGATCGCGTATGTGGGCGTGCTACTGGGCGCGCTAGTCCAGGTCTCATTTGTTTGGTTCTTTTATTCTCGTCTTCTCGCTCATTCAGCTCCTAAGGGTCTTTCTTGATTCAATGTAGCTCCAATCACAGCTTTAAAGCCTCATACAAGCTCTTCATTCCTGCAACACAATTTAGAGCTCATTTTTTCATCATTTAATTATATTAGAGCATTGAAACATAATCAAGTTGGGGAAAAACCATTGTCAAATGACATATATCTAGCCTAATATCAACACCCCATACTTAAATCCTTGCTAGTCCTCTAGCAATCCACCACCCTTGATAGAGGTTCCTTCACTAAGCATTCTTCCCTAACGCATTACACCAAGAATAAATCACATGAGTTACACCTAGGAGTGAACAATCATATCCTTAAAAGTTGACTCTCATGTGCCGTGCAATATTCATATTTTCTCAAGCTACTCTATACCGAAGTCAAGACTTGTCTTTCCTTCATGAATGACATGCCCTCACCTTCACACAAGCGAGTAGTTCCACATATAATAATATTTAGAACAATTGGGAACTTAAATAACTGAAATTCACTCACTCTCAAGAAAATAACATTCACATGTCACAAAGATGCACCATAAGCTTGCCCGTAGTGTACTACTCTACTAATTGAGCCACTCAGTCTAAGATCAATAGGACTTTACTTGGTTGTAATGTAGGTTAAGGAACGAATAGGGTACATTTGGATATAGTGATTAACCTCCCTAAGCACTTTTAGTACAATTACATCAACATTCAAAACCAAACCTTTTGTCAACCAAACATTTCACCACCGTTCTTTTGTTTACAACAGACCCCATTCATTAGGTGTAATTATAGCAAACCACCACTTCTCAACCACTATATTAATCTCTCTTTTTTTTTATGTTGCTTCATCTTTTATGCAACAGAATTCTACACCTATTTTTCGATTTCTGTGGTTTCACTCAAAAACCGAACCATCACCTCCACACTTTTGTCTTTGCATAATTTTCAATACCATTCAAGTGCTTATGTGAGGAAATAGGGTTCAAACAACAGGCTATTCAAACAATTAGGTAAGGTTCACAATGTGGTTGCCAAAGAAATAGGCTTATAAGCACAACGGGGTTAACTAAGATGTATTGCAGTTAGGTGGGTTTATTTTATAAGTCTAGCTCAACAAAGATTTGCCTATATCATTTCTAAGACTGAATGAACTACTATTTCGCATTGCAAACACGCAGGGCAAGTTCTAGGCATCAAATGTGAATCATGGAATATAGTAAAACTCACACATATGGCACATGACTCATTCCGGATTGGCTTATCAAGACACTCTTTTCTGAGTATTCAAGTCAGTGACAAATATACAGTTTAAGGCACTTTAGCAAGAATCAACTACTGAGAATAGGCGTTACACTCTAGTGTCTATTGTGTTCAGGTGAAATAGCGCTAAAGGCTTTTCTTTTCGCACTCCGCTCATTAGCCCGTTAATCCTAATTTTAAAAACTAAAGAGAAAACAAAATGAATAAAAACTACCTATACCCGGTTCAAGCTAAACCCTTGGAAAAGAACCGTGGCCCAAAGAAAAACCAAGGGGGGAGTTACTACACTACCTAAAAAGAAAATAAATAAAAAATCTTTTTGGAATTTTCTCTAGACTAACTTCCCTCAAGAAAATTATCTAAAGGATCCATCATCAGGAAGAGTCTGCATTTTCGTTGTTTTTTTATATGCTCGACTTAGTCCCAGCTATTTAACTACTTTAAACAATACCAAAACTAAATCAATACCAAAACAACCAAAACAAAATAAAATCAACCAAAATCAAATAGTCAAATAACAACTACATATGTACAATGAAGCATCTCCCATCCCACACTTATAATCAAGACATGTCCCCATGGCTGTAAAAATTGTAAAGAATAGTGAGGTTGAGGTACTTCCCTGAAGGTCACTCCTGGTCGGAGACGGTTTCTGGGCTCACATTGCATGCGCGACCCAGAGCTCTTAACCAGCCCAAGAAATTCTTTTTAGACTTCACTTGTCTGTCAGCAACCACCTCCACTCGGGCACCTAAATCTGTGACTGAAGTACGTAACCCAGCCATCTCTTGTTCCAAAGCGGTCATGCGTGTGCTCCTGCGTGGCTGTGAAGATATGGATGCCCTAGATGGTGTTGGAGCTGCATCCTCGTGCTCTAGGCCCTGGTGTTCGACACTCATATTCTCCTCTTCTTCATCCTCGTCATCTGAATCGTCAGAGCTACCACTACTTTCTACCTCCGCTGCAGCTGGTTCCTTTCCCGTGGTTACCTTGTCCGTGCGGAACTTCCGGTCCTTTCTTACAAGGCCATCCACAACTATATTTTTGGTCACTCGAGCATCCTTACAAAGTTGAGTTACTAAAGAAGGGAAGAAGAACCCATACCTTTTTACTCGGCTGCGGATGAACATCTCGTCATATATTACTTTTGCCACATCAAAGTTGTGCCCATTGACGAAACACCAAATCAAAGCGGCTCTAGGCCTATTCACCTCAATAGTATTATGGGATGGAATCAAACGGTTGTTGATTAGGTACAACCAACATTTTGCTTCATAGGTGAGTGCGGAGGAGTGGAACTTCTCACATATCGCATCCAAACTACTTCTTTTCTTGATGCACAGATAGTTTCAATGAATCGCTTCCACTTTTCCTGTGTTGGGTTGCGGCCATATTCATAGAAGGCATCATAATCAATCACAGGTGGTGGTAGCTGGTATGCCGCCCTTATTGCCTCAACAGAGGCATTCACCGCTTTGTCCCGTACTGTGATGATGCCATTGTGATGCTCAGGCGCGTTGGCGTAAAATTCCCTTACAACCATAACATTGCCTTCACCGGGCTCATTAATGAAAGTTTGGAGCCCATGTCTCATCAACTCTTCATATATGTAAGGGCAATTTCGCTGGAGTAATCAGACTTCAATGCCCCTTTCAGGAATTGGCTTCTTAGAAGCCTTCTCAGCAAAGCGGTCCTGGGCTTTAGCTGAGACAAATTTTGTATCATCAAAAAGGCGTGCAGGTGCATCCCCTCGCGACCTGGAGGTTTGTCTGCTAGTTGATGGACCGGTGGTGCGGCGTTTCTTTGATGGAGCCATGGTACCTGCAAATCGGGAACAAATAAGTACCTCCCAACACCAAAAAGTGTGACGCACTACGGTTACTCTGACTTCATGCACATACGTGGTCACCATTATATAATTTCAGTCATTGGAGCCTTTTTACAAACACCTTATGGGCGTTAGGTACACACAACCCATTCCAAATAATTTGCAATATGAACCCACCACCAAATCTCCCAAATGTCAACAATCAAGTAAACAACACTCTATAATTCTCACAACTCATAAATATTACAATAATTACTACCAATTCTACTATTAACCAAACAAAAATAAAGATAAATATCTAAAAGAAAGCGTGCTTAAACATACCAAAATCTGCAGGGACTATTTGAAATAAAGAGAAAAAATTTGGAGCAAGATGAACATACCTTTAGTGAATGAAGATTAGAGAAGAATGGGAAGGGGAAAGTGTGTTGGAGAATTGGAAAAACTATTAAAAGATGGAAAAACAATTCTGGAGAAGGTGAGTTGAAGAAGAAGAAGGAATTGGGTAGTGTTTGCTTAAGTGTTGGAGGCTTGTGTGTTGGTAATGGGAGGGGTTTGGGCGTTGGGGTTATTAGAATGGGGAGGGGGGGAATGAGTTACACTAAAGAAAAAATAATTGAAAAATAAAAAAATCAAATCAAAGAACAAACAGTCGGGTATCAAGGGCAGAACGCTATTAGCGCGTTCATATGCGCGATCGCGCTAAATTAGCGCGTCCAAGATAGAATGTTTTGCCAAGTAGCGCATCCATTAGCGCGTTCAGATGCGCAATCGCGCTAGAAGCGCGTTCAGTAATGCAGCCCAGGAAGAATGTTTGCGCCATTTTAGCGCATTCTTAGCACGCCCAAATGCGCGGTCGCGCTAGTATCGCGTCCATGAGTGCGCCCATAAGCGCAGTCGCGCTAACTGGGCTTCAAAATCCTGAACTTTCACCTTTTTTTTTCATTTTCGATTGCCTTATCATCCGCCCATTGTTACCTGCATTGGTTAGCATTTTCAAAAACTCACAATTAATTACTACTACGACCGTCGGGTTAACTCCCAACCAGCGCCTTAGTTAATGTCATGGCACGACGTAGAGTAAGCTCATTTAAGGCTCGCTCGACCTTTGCGGTTCAACAAGAATTATTACGGAAAACTCTTTCGTTTCCTCCATCCCCACATACAGTTTTAGTCGTTGTCCATTAACTTTGAAAGTGTTAGTGCCATCTTCATTGGTTATCTCCACAGTCCCAGACGGGAACACTTCGGTCATCTTGAACGTCCTAGACCATCGGGACTTAAGTTTACCCGGAAACAATCTCAACCTTGAATTGTATAATAATACCTTGTCTCCAGGTTTGAAATTTTTGTCCACAATGTGTTTGTCATGCAATCTCTTCATCCTCTCCTTGTAGAGTCTCGTGCTTTCAAAGGCGTGATATCTGAATTCCTCCAACTCATGCAACTTTGCTAGTCGAGTTTCTCCAGCTTCATCAGGGTTCATGTTCAATTGCTTTAGTGTCCACCAAGCTCGATGTTCTAGCTCCACAGGTAGGTGACAGGCCTTCCCAAACACCAATTTGTATGGTGACATACCAATAGGTGTTTTGAATGCAGTCATATAGGCCCAAAGTGCGTCGTCAAGCTTTTTCGCCATCAGTTCTTGTGGCGTTTACATTTTTAGTGAGTACACTCTTGATCTCACGGTTTAATACCTCTACCTGCCTGCTTGTTTGAGGGTGATATGGGGTTGCTACCTTGTGGTGCACATCAATTTAGCCAACAACTTTTCAAAGACACGATTGCAAAAGGGCATGCCCTCGTCACTAATGATGGCCCTCGGAGTCCCGAATCGGGTGAATATATTCTTCTTCAAGAATCCGACCACCACTCTCGAATCATTGGTGGGAAGTGTTGCAGCTTCCACCCATTTGGATACATAATCCACCACAACAAGTATGTACTTATTGCTATAAGAACTGACGGAGGGACCCATGAAATCAATTCCCCAAACGTCGAACACCTCAACTTGCTGAATTGGATTCAAGGGTATCTCATGTCTACGGGATATGTTTCCCGTTCATTGGCATTCATTACAGCCCTTTACCCATTGGTGAGCATCCTTAAAGATTGTTATCCAGTAGAACCCTGCCTCTAACACCTTTGCTGCTGTCCGAACTCCTCCAAAATGTCCTCCATAAGGTGATGCGTGACAAGCCTGCAAAATAGAACATTGTTCTATCTCGGGGATGCATCTCTGGATCATGTTATCAATGCAAATTTTAAACACATCTGCTTCATCCCAGTAATAGTTTCGGCAATCACGATAAAATCGTTTCTTTTGAACATAAGAGAGTTCATATGGTTTAATGCCGCAGGCCAAATAGTTTGCAATATCAGCATACCATGGCACATCTTCCACACTTGTAGCTAACAGCTGGTCGTCTGGAAAAGTTTCCAGAATATCCTCACACTCAATTGACTTTTCAGCACCTTCAAGGCGCGACAAATGATCAGCGACATGGTTCTCCGTTCCCTTACGGTCACGAATCTCCAAGTCAAACTCTTGCAAAAGCAGCACCCAACGAATTAGGCGCGTCTTAGACTCTTTTTTATTAACCAAATACCTAATGGCTGTGTGATCTGTGTATATTATCACCTTCGACCCGATCAAGTAAGACTTGAACTTATCAAAGGCGAACACAACAATCAACATTTCTTTTTTAGTTACCGTGTAATTCAGCTGAGCAACACTCAATGTCCTACTTGTGTAGTAAATAGGGTGCATTACCTTATCCTTGCGTTGTCCCAACACGGCTTCCACAGCGTAGTCACTAGCATCACATATGAGTTCAAACGGTTGCTCCTAGTGGGGAGCAACTACAATCGGTACTGTGACTAGCCGCTTCTTCAGTTCCTCAAAAGCTAACCTGCAATCATCAGAAAACACAAATGGGTTATCTTTTTTGAGCAACTTACATAGGGGATTTGCGATCTTGGAAAAATCCTTGATGAATCACCGGTAGAAGCCGGCATGTCCCAGGAAGCTACGAATAGCCTTGACTGATGTTGGAGGTGGAAGTTTTTCTATCATGTCGACTTTGGCTCTGTCCACCTCAATCCCTTTACTCGACACTAAGTGCCCCAAGACAATTCCTTCTTGTACCATAAAATGGAACTTCTCCCAATTTAGCACTAGATTCGTCTCGAAGCACCTTTTTAGGACACGGGTTAAATTTGCTAGGCATTCATCAAACGAATTTCCCACCATTGAGAAATCATCCATGAAGACCTCCATAATGTCCTCCACCATATCTGTAAAAATGTCCATCATGCACCGTTGGAATGTTGCAGGTGCATTACAAAGGCCAAATGGCATTCTCCTGAAGGCAAACACTCTGTAAGGGCAAGTGAATGAAGTCTTTTCCCTATCCTCCGGGGCAATAGAAATCTGGTTGTACCCCGAGTATCTGTCGAGAAAACAGAAGTGTGACCTTCCTGCCAATCTATCCAACATCTGATCAATAAAAGGAAGTGGGAAATGGTCTTTCTGGGTAGCCAAGTTCAGCTTCCTATAATCCATACAAATTCTCCATCCTGTGACGGTTCTTGTAGGAATCAATTCTTGTTATCATTCTTAACTACCGTCATGCCACCTTTTTTTGGTACACATTGAACTGGGCTAACTCAGCTACTGTCAGAAATTGGGAAAATGATTCCCACATCTAACCACTTGATCACCTCTTTCTTCACCACTTCTTTCATATTGGGGTTCAGCCTTCTTTGGTGTTCTCTGGAAGGTTTTTGTCCTTCTTCCAGCAGAATTTTATGCATACAGTATGCGGGGCTGATTCCCTTTATGTTTGCCATGGTCCACCCAAGAGCAGTCTTGCACTCCGTAAGTACCTGCAAGAGTTGTTGAGTCTGCACATCTAGCAAACTAGATGAAATAATAACAGGTAATGTGGAGTTAAGTCCAAGAAACTCATACCTGAGATGGGCTGGCAATGGCTTTAACTCCAACTTTGGTGGTTCTTCGATTGATGGCTTGGCTGGAGGAGCTTCTCTGTTCTCCAAGTGCAAGGGCTCAAATTCAAGTGTTTTATCCCAGAACCCTCTACCTTCTAATTCCATTACCCATCCAGCTAGTTCTTCTCCCTTTACCTCATTAAAGTTCATCAGACACGCAACAAGGTACAATTACCTCCACGACATCTATAAAAGATCAATTGGCGAATTCACTTGGTCGCCTTATAGATTTCTGCACGTTGAATGTTATTTCTTCATCGTTCAACCTCAACTTTAACTCCCCAGTTTCACAATCGATTAAAGCTCTCCCCGTGGCCAGGAATGGTCTTCCCAAAATTATGGGAATCTCTTCATCTACTTTACAATCTAAGATTACAAAATCTGCAGGGAACACAAATTTCCCTACCTAAATCAACTCATCATCCAGAATACCAGAGGGTCGCTTTACCGTCTTGTCAGCCAGCTACAACAATATAGAGGTGGGTCTAGCTCTTCCAATACCCAGCCTTTTATAAATTGCCAGGGGCATAAGATTAATGTTGGCCCCTAGATCACACAGTACTTTAGCAAAGTCACAATCACCAATAGTGCATGGGATTGTAAAGCTCCCTGGGTCAGATAGCTTTTCCGCAATTGGTCTAGTCACCACTGCACTACAGGTCTGGGTGAGAGTAACTGTGGCTAAGTCTTGAAAATCAAATTTTAGGGACATTAAGTCCTTCATCATTTTTGCATACCCAGGCATCTCTTTCAAAGCATCAATTAAGGGAATGTTTACCTAGATTTGTTTTAGCATTTCCAAGAACTTCTTGTATTGCTCCTCTTTTTGGTACTTAGCAAGCCTCTGAGGGAAGGGTGCAGAAGGTCTCTTCTTCCCAATTATTTGGGATTGATATTTATCAGCCGCTACATCAACCACTGGTTTCTGTACTATTTCAGCTTCTTTCTCGGTCTCAATTTGAATGTTACCTTCTTCCTGGGCAGGCTGGGCTGTCACTTCTGTTAGTTTCATTGATTCATCCAACTCTATGGGCACTGATATAAGTGTCTCAGCTCCCCTGGCTTCTCGAGCCCTTTCTTACTCTACATCCAAATCTTTGCCATTACGTAAGCTCACCGCCATCAACTGCTTCAGGACTTGATCTTTTGGATTTACCTGGGTATTTGCGGGTAGTGTTCCATGAGGGCGATTGTTTAGAGACATCGAAATTTAGCCCATTTGCATTTCAATATTCTTGATCGCCGAGTCATGTGCATCTACTCTTTCACTAATCTTTGCATTAGACCCAATGACTTGTTGCATCATTGCTTCAAGTCTAGCAAACCCATCTTCCTGCCTTCCACTGTACTGCTGCTGAGGAGGGTGATACCCCTGCTATTGATTCTGATTACTGTATCCCTGTGGCCTTTGGTAAGGTGCTATATTGTTGGGGGGGTTTCATACCTCCCATGTTTCCACTGTTGAACTGTGATTGGGCTGGCCTGTATTGCTGATTTTGCTGACCCCAATTCTGACCACCCTGTCTCTGGCCTCCATAATTAGACATATAGTTCATATCTTCAGGGTAGTGCTGATGATCGTGTCCTGTAGGCCACTGATTACCGATTGGCTGACTAATGCAAGATGTGGACAAGCCCCCATTAGTAGTATCTACAATATGTACCTGCTGTTTTTGCCCTGACTCTTGCACCCTTTTGGTGAGTATGCTCATTTGTGACAATAAAGTGGCCATATTTTCAGCCATTGAATTGGATGGATCTAAAGGCACTGAGTGCACCACTGGAGTGATAGGTGCATTTTTGGTTATCCATCCTGAATTCTGTATCATCTTGTCAAGCAGACCTTGACCTTCTCTCCATGTTTTACTCAAGAATGCTCCACCCGCTGAAGCATCAACAATGTTCTTCACGTTGTCTGACAATCTTATGTAGAACCGTTGTCCCAACATCAAATTGGAATGCCATGGTGCGGACATCAAATTTGGAATGCCATGGTGCGGACATATGACCAGCATCCCTTTAAAACTCTCCCATGTTTCATGCAATGATTCCATTGGCCTCTGTTTAAAACTCAAAATGTCATCAATCTGTTGCGCGGTTTTGTTGGGGGGTGGAACTTGTTCACGAATTGCCTGACTAACTCATCCCAAGTTGTCATGGAATTTATGGGAAGTGAGTTTAACCAGGTTTGGGCAGCTCCGATCACTGAGAATGGGAACAATAGCAACTTGATTGCTTCTGGAGTTATATTGGGCTGTCTTTGGGACTTGCAGATTGATCGAAAAATTTTCAAGTGCTGTTGAGGATCTTTGACTTGTGACCCCGAAAATAGCCCCGTGTTTTGCAACAAATGCAGCATGTTATTTGTGATTTGGAATGATTCACCTTGTATCTGCGGGACTAAAATTGAGGTGGCCAAATTTTCAGCTGCGGGTTGTGCCCAATCATAAAGAACCGCCTTGGGCACAAGAGGTGCCATTGGTGCTATTGGTACAACTGGGTGTTCTTCGTGATCTCCCATTGTTGTTTCGATTGGATCAGTTGTTTGTTATTGTTTGTTTCTCCGGTTGGCCCGGTTCAAGGCCTTGCAAATTTTCTCGGGATCTGAAAATGCTTCAAATACTTCACCAGTTCTCGATGAGTTTCTAGGCACGCACCTGTGCAACCAAGTCAACAAACGTTAAAAATTTCAATGTAAAAATTGGGTGTAGAGAAAACTAACTACACTAAGATTTTTTTTTTGTACTTCTTTCAATCACAATTGATAATACCATTAACTCCCCGGCAACGGCGCCAAAATTTGATCACGCTCAACTAAGCCTATTAAAAGACTACGCGGGCGTTGCAAATATAATCCGGGGTATTATGCCCCGAGTCAAATCCCATAGGGAATTAACGTATCAAGAGAAGTCTTTGAAGTACTAAATTCTTATTAGTCAACCTCCTCAAACTTTGTGAATACAAGTGGTGTTATAATTACTACGACAGCTATTTGAATCAATAAAACAAAGGTTAATTAATACGCAAATATAGACAATTGGAATAAAGGCCTAAGGTAATAGCTTCCCCCAGTGTAGATTTCCTTAGTCGTATATTTCTTATAGCTATGAATTAGTTATCTCTATCAATCATGAACTCTTCAACAATCATAACTCTCCCTCAAGTAATTATGATAATTTACTAGACGCAATCTCTTAAGCTACGCTAGCTAGATTCGTATTATAATTCACTTAGATTGCACCCGAGGTATCGTTATCTCTACTCCAACCTCTAAACCCTCGGTTATGACTTCACCTATTCTCCGGGAGTGATGTTGTTCAAACAATTATCTAAATATGCATTCTTTCTCAAGTAGCTACATAATAAATAGGCATGGCTAATTGATGATCCTTTCAACTAACCAAATATAAAAACATAGTTGAACAAATAGAGATTAACAACTAACTCAAAACTATATTAATATCACAATAAGTTCATCCACAACGGGTTCAACCAAAACCTTCGATTAAAAGCGTTAGCTACTCATAACATTGATAAACATCATAATAAATAACTTCATTACAAATCATAAAAACAAAAGGAAGAGGAGAAGAACTTGATGTAGAAAACTCCTCTTAGCTCCTTGCTTTTCCTATTCTTGTTCTTAGCTAATAAAAGTTGCACACCTCTATTTTAGGGCGAGCTTGACCTTCTATAAGTTAAGTGAATTTTCCCCCCAGACTTCCAAAATTACCCCTGACGATTCTGTTCCGGAATCTGGACTAGCGCGATCGCGCATGTGGGCGCGCTACTGGGCGCGCTAGTCCAAGTCTCATTTGTTTGGTTCTTTTATTCTCGTTTTCTCGCTCATTCAGCTCCTATGGGTCTTTTTTACTTCAATGTAGCTCCAATCACAACTTTAAGGCCTCATACAAGCTCTTCATTCCTACAACACAATTTAGAGCTTATTTTTCATCATTTAATTATATTAGAGCATTGAAATATAATCAAGTTGGGGAAAAAACTATTGTCAAATGACATATATCTAGCCTAATATCAGGTTGAAAATAGAATATCTCACAGTCAAAGATCCACTTGTTTTGTGGAATGGCTTAAAGGAAAGACATGACAACTTAAAGTTGGTTACTCTTCCACAAGCACGATATGATTGGGCTCATCTGAGGCTCCAAGACTTTAAATCTGTTTCTAAATATAATTCTGCGATGTTCAGAATTACTTCTAAATTGAAACTCTGTGGAGATACTATCACTGGCTATGATATGCTTGAAAAAACGTTCACAACATTACATGCCTCCAATATGATCTTGTAACAACAGTACCGAGAGAAAGGTTTCAAAAAGTACTCTGAGTTGATTTCTCTTCTCTTTGTGGCGGGACGAAACAACGACTTACTCATGAGAAATCATGAAAATCGACCCACTGGGTTTACACCATTGCCTGAAGTGGATGAGGTGTATTCCTATTATGCTAAGCGTGGAAAAGGTCGTGGCCCTATTCGTGGTCGTGGCAGTAGTCGTGGCCGTAGACAAGGAAGAAATTCTCCTGGTGTTAATCACTCCCAAAAAAAATAACCATCAAAAGTGGAAAGGGAAAGATGAGAAGCCAAAGGAAAATGGTTCAGAAACTGAATGCTATCGTTGCGGTGGAAAAGGGCATTGAGCAAATATTTGTCGTACATCAAGACATTTAGTTGAGCTTTATCAAACATCTCTAAGGAATAAAGGCCCTGAAGTTAATCTTGTCTATGACAATGACTTTGATATCACCCTCTTGGATGTGGCAGACTTCTTTGAGCACCCTAATGGGAAAATAGACCACTTGATCGGTGAAGGATCTGTGGTTAAAGATGATTGAGTAGTTTGTTTTTTAATTTTTTATTTTTGCCTATTCGTAATAGCTAGCTAATAAACATTATGTAATTACAGTTCTTTACATGAGTAGTAGTCATTAGTATTATTTATTTTATGAAATAGTATTAGTTCGTTTTGATTAAATTATTTAATAATTATTATTTCGTCGTAATGCAATATTTATTTTTGTATTTTAAATTGGGTATAACTGAAGTGGCTTTCTTCCATTTTGTGAAACAACGTACTAACTCCATTTCAGAACTTCTATTATTTCCATTAACGTAATGTGATAGGCAATTAGTTGATTTCATTGTCCGTCTCTTTCTGTATGGTTTAGCAAAATTATATTACAGTTGCTTGATTGAGATGTTCTAACATTTTGGATGACAGAATAGTGTAAGGGTAGAACATGTGTAATAATATAATAATTCCCTTTACAAAATATGTACACGTGTATGTATAGTGTACTCAGAATTGTATTATTTTTAGCTACGTAATTGCTTGTATCATAATCAGAGTTAGCTCGAAATTGCATTACAATGTTATTATTTAATTATTGATTTAACTCTGTTATTCTCTAAAAATACTAATATTTATTAGTATATTTTCTTTTGTATGCCAAACCATTGGAAACAAACATGGATATCCCACAAAGCAAACTTGAATCAAAGTTCAATTGTAAAAATATTTGTTTAGTTGATTCATGTACGGCACATACAATATTCAAAGAGAAAAAATATTTCTCTCATTTAAGTATGTGTAAGGCAGATTTTACTATAATTTCTGGTAGTAGTAATCAAATTGAAGGCTCTGAAAGAGCTATTATATCTCTGCCTAAGGGAACAATACTTATCATAGAGAATGCAATGTTCTCCTATAAGTCCAAGAGGAACTTGTTGAGTTTTAAAGATATCCGCCGAAATGGATATCATATTGAGACAATAGATGAGAATAATATTGAATATCTCATCATTACCAAGAATGTCTCTGGCGAGAAAAGGGTTATTGAAAAATTCTTATCTTTATCTTGTGGCCTGTATTGGACAAGTATTGGTGCAATTGAAGCACATTCAAGGGTAAACCAAAGGGTTACTGATTCCAATACTTTTGTACTTTGGCATGATCGATTGGGATACACTGGATCAATTATGATGAGACTGATTATAGAAAACTCAAATGGGCATCCATTAAAGAATTTAAAGATTCTTTATGTAATAAATTTTCTTGCACTTCTTGTTATCAAGGCAAGTTAATTATTAGACCATCACCAACAAAGGTTGGGATTGAGTCCCCTTGCATTTTTGGAATGTATACAAGGGGACATTTGTGGACCTATTCACCCATCTAGTGGGTCGTTTAGATATTTTATGGTCTTAATAGATGCATCTTCAAGATGGTCTCATATGTGCCTATTGTCATCTCGTAACCTCGCATTTGCAAAATTAATGGCACAAATAATTCGATTACGGGCGCAATTCCCCGATAATCCAATTAAGTCTATTAGACTTGATAATGCTACTGAGTTTTCATCCCAAGCATTTAATTATTATTGCTTATCAATTGGGATAAAAGTGAAACATCATGTAGTTCATGGTCACACTCTAAATGGCCTTGCAAAGTCTTTAATAAAACGTCTGCAATTGATAGCAAGACAGTTACTCATGAAACGAGGAAGCCCACTTTTGTTTGGGGTCATGCCATTTTACATGCAGCAATGCTATTTCGTCTCAGACCGACAAATTATCATTAAATATTCCCCGTTGCAATTAGTTTTGGATCATGAACCTAATATATCCCATTTAAGAATTTTTGGATGTGCAGTATATGTGTCTGTAGCACCGCCATATCGCACCAAAATGGGCCCCAAAGAAGGTTAGGAATATACGTTGGGTTTGAATCGTGCTCCATTATTCGCTACCTCAAAACATTAATGGGGGATTTGTTCACTGCACAATTTGCAGATTGCCGATTCGATGAGACACTTTTCCCAAAATTAGAGGTAGAAAATGGTGAAACTAAACAGGAAATTTTGTGGAAAAATTCATCATTGTCTCATCTTGATCCACGTACCTCTATTTGTGAAAAACAGGTGCAAAAGATTATTCATTTGCAAAAAATAGCAAATCAAATGATAGATACATTTACGGATCTAAAAAGAATAACAAGATCACATATCCCTGCAGAGAATGTTCTGATCCGTATTGATGTTCTTATTGAACAATCTTCTAGTGGCATAGCTAATGAGTCAAAAGCACGCCTAAAACGTGGCAGGCCATTAGGTTCTAAGGATCGAAATCCTAGAAAAGGAAAACAAATGATCAAGATGACACTATGAAAGAGTCTCATGAAGGAATCCATGATTTAACCAATCCTGAGATTCAGGAGGAAATCACTGAGCTTAAGACTTAAGAAAATAAGGAACTATCAATAAATCCAATCGACATTGAGACAAATTTGAATCGATTGGATATATTGGTGGATTATGTCTTTGCATATAATGTTGCATCTAGAATTATGCATGATAGTGAGGATCTTGAACCTCAATCTGTTGGAGAATATCGACAAAGACGTGATTGGCCAAAATGGCAAGAGGCAATCCAATCAGAGTAGAATTAACTTGCAAACCATGAAGTTTTTGGGCCTGTAGTCCAAACATCTAATGGTGTTAAGC